AAAGTATTTTCAATTTAATTTATTCAAATATCGGGGAAAAATTGGAAAAATAAAATTTACGAAGCATATATTTGAATAGTATTTCAAAAGTTCTAGAAAATAATTAATGATAAATTTACTTAATTTTATTATGGAAAGATAACTTTCAAAAACTGCCTAATGAAACTGTCAAAATGTTAACTGCAAGAAAAAAAAGCCGATCGACTCCGCTGGGGATCGAACCCAGAATCTCTGGTTTCGTAGACCAGCGCCTTATCCATTGGGCCACGGAGTCCGTTTTGTTCTTTGCATTTGCTTTTATTGTATTTAGAGATTGTTTTATTTTTCACCGTTTCAAGTTGTAATTCCTATTCTTTTTCTTTCTTTTTTTAACTATTTTGTTAGAGATCTTTTTTTTCATAACTATTGACACAAGTCAAACTACACTTTTTTTGGATGCTCCGTATTTTGTATAAGTTGAAATTTTAAATTTTACATCAGTAGTTAAATAAATTAATTATAAATAACTTGAATCAAATATTATAATTTAAACTCTAAAGGGAGGATTAATTACAAACAAAAAAAATATTATTTGAAAATACTCAATATATATGAATTCTAAGAAAGTATGCTAGCATGCTCTATAAGTCTATAATGGGCATGTTGATGAAATAATGCACTGAAGTTAATAACTTTATAAGGTGATCGACAACATTGAATATTCTTCAATTAAGAAGGTGCTCATTAGAGCACTTTTAGTGATTTTTCTCACTTTCTTGTTTTTCTCACTTAGGCTCCGTTTGGCACATGGAATTGAAATTTCATGGGATTCAATTTCATATAATTGAATTTATCAATTCTAATTCATTTTTTGCACTATCAATTCCAAATCCACATAATTTTTGTGCTACCAAACACGAGAATTGGAATTGAAGTTCTCAAATTCCAATTTCATAATTTGAATTCTGTGTACCAAACGGGCCCTTATTTTTAATGTTACATATTCTTCTCTTATTTTTCTCACTTTATTTCTTGAGTTCTTCTTAAGTGCACCTTGAGTGGATATTATTTTTATAGACTTTCTCACATAATAGTTTTTTGTTTAAAAAATAAATACTTAATTAAATAGTAAAAACATTTGTTTTGCTCATATGTAGGTACATGGTGAACCGTGGTGGACTTTAGGTCCACTATAAAATTTGTCTTATTTCTTAGCTTTCTGCGTACCACTCAATGATTTTTCATGTTTTTTCTTCTATTTTTAATGGTGTACTTGTCTCACAAGCTAAGTCACGAATTTATTCTATTTACATATTTTTAACTAAAGAGCATCTAAAATGAAACTAGTTAATTATACACCAGTTGCTAACACAAGTTTATTTAGGACACCTACAATGTCACGTTGATACAAATAATGGTTCTTATCTCTCTAACTTACATCTATCCTAGCTAAACCCCCATCCCTCCCCCTGCCCTCTCCATACCCTGGCAGTACACTGCTAGAGTGCTAGGCATGCTGTATATTGCCAGGGTAGGGAGGGGTAGGGGTGGGGGTAAGGGTGATATTGGAGTACAGTTGGAGGTTTAGGGAGGAGGTGAAGGAGGTAGAAACCATCAATTTTACTAACGGGATACTATAAGTCTTCCAAACAAATTAGTATAAGCAAATGACACCAATAACACTAGTGGCATTCTAGACTTCCTATTTTAATTGATATAATAAATTAAGTTAATTTTTTTCTTAAAAGCATTTTAAAATTAAAAAGTACATTTTTAAATTTAAAAAAAAGAGAAAAAATGAATACAAAGTTAATGATTGAAAAAATCTTCCTACCTAAAACAGTTGAATACAATCTTTTCTAATTTTTCTATAAATGATTTTTCCAGTTCAACTTTATTGAATCGTATATAATATTTACGTAAAATATAAATAGTGAAACTTGTAATTTATTCATCATCCCCGAATTAGATTATCACTTTCATTCTTAGAGACTTAGAGTATCTCCAATATAAATACCAAATTCTTTGATGAGATTGTTTAATACCGAGCCATTCTTTTTATAATAAATGTTCACATAAGTTCGATCCCGGCTACCGATCTTCGTGCTTAAATAAGATTGAAAATGTATATTGAACAAATAGTCAAATACTACACACACTTAGCATATAAGTGAAACTCATGAAAATAAAGTTAGGGTAACTCCAACATTTTAATGTTATCTATGATCTCAAGCCTCATGAATCATGATTTATCTCATACTATATAATATTGCTTAAGAGTTAACACTACAAGAAAACGCCAAAAGAACGACGGAATTTGGCGACGGAATACTTTCTGTCGTTGATAGCGACGGAATTAGCGACGGATTTTGGATGCCTACCAGACGTAACGACGGATTTAAAGTTCCGTCGTTAGGTATGTGCGGGAAGTGGTGCGCGCCCTTTATAGCGACGGAAATGGCGACGGAAAATTTCCGTCGTTAGTTTGGCGACGGAAATAAACCGTTGCCTACTTCATTTTATCTAAACGCATCGTTTTGGCTTAGCGACGGAATTTTTCCGTCGCTAAATTCCGTCGCCGCACGATTCAGATCTTAAATACGGAATTCCTTTTCTTAGACAGACAGAACGCCGAAGACGACCCAAAAGTGCAGAACAGAACACCGTTCGTCATCCAGCACCCCGCCACTCGTCATCGAGTTCGTCGCCACTCGCCGTCGCTCGACATCCCCCCTCGCCGCCGCTCGCTGTCCACCTGCTGCCGGTCTTCATCTTCAAATATCAGGTTTTTTTTCATTTTTTTACAATTGAAGTTGAAAAGAATTTGACTATAGATATTTACATACTTGAATACAAAATTATTATTGATTGATGATATATATTAAGAGTGCATTATGTAAATTATTTGACATTTAGTTCTAATTTTAAAAGTTTTTGAAATTAGGATTTTTTTCCCCAAAATTTTGTCATTTTGTTTTAAAAACTTATTTATATATTCTTGAAACTTTTAGTGAACGAATATTATGCTTATTAATTTTTTCATAGCATATTTTAGATATTGTAAATGTTATATATATGATGATTGTGTACGTATTATGTATATGTTGTTCAATATTGTAATTCTTGTATTTATATTATATTTTTTAGTTTGTTTGTAATAAATTATATAACTTAATAGTATGTTAATTTTATTTGTTTGAATTTCTAAGAGTGACTTTCACGAAAATCGAGATTGGATGTATAAAAGACTTGATAGTT